CTCTCTCTCTCTCTTTCTCTTTCTCTTTCTTTCTTTCTTTCTCTTTCTCTCTCTCTCCCTCTCCCTCACCCTTTCCCTCTCCTTCTCCCTCTCCCTCTCCTTCTCCCCCTCCATCTCCCTCATTTGAGATTTCTGTGTTTACATTTGAACTTGCTATTGTTGTATTAGGACTTTTTATGACGCCATTTGTATTTTTGGATTTGCTAGGTGTAATTTGGGTCGAATGGTACCAAACCGCACCATGACATGTGCTGTCAGGGACAAAGGTGGCCTGGTCTTTCACGATTTTTATGTACAAGGAATGGCAGCTATCATTTCAATCCATCCCTCTAAGAAACGGTTCAGACAATCCACACAACGAAGCATGCTTTGTATGACAACGCTCGCGCACAAAGGCAAGCTTTAAATGGCAACTCATCAATAGATTGGGGGTGAAATATGAACTTTAAAAGTACATGTACTGTTAATTTTTTTTTATATACTTACAAGCAAGAAGGCATTTCATAAAACATGTTTTAAAATGAATGTTAGATTTTGTCCCCGACTTTGTGTCCCTCAAATGTTGCGGTAGAGTGTTCTTGGGGCCCCATTTCGTTTCACAGTTCCTAGGTTTAAAAACGCATACGTTTAAAAAAAAGAAAAGAAAGAAGAAAAAATAACAACTCACAGTTTGTTGTGTCACGTTGTCATACAGAAGAACTCTGGGAACGTTAGTCTTCAACTTTAATCCAGTTCCATATTTTTTGCCATAATTAGGCATGATGGCCGGCGGTCGGTGCATGTAGCTCAGGTCCTGAAAAGACTTGGTAGTTGCCGACGACGTGCCTGGTGACGTCATGGCGTTCGCGTTTTCCGTGGGTGGTGACGTCATCTCGAAAAGGTGGCGCTGATAGCGAGACTGCTAGACATGTGGTTTCGCCTCTTCCGTCTGGAGAGAGGAAATCTGGATGAAAATTTGATGACTGGAGGGTCTGTTGGTGAAGAAAGGGGTTATTGAAGGAGGCAGTGACGTCAAAAATAGCTCGTCCCGTTCCGGTTTTTTAGGGTGTTTCGCGCCAAACCATTGTTGCTATCCTTCGGTGACCTGCAAAGAGAAAGTAAAATCGGATTGGAAAAGAACAATTTAGGTGGAAATACGTTTATCGTTTGAGTTCAAAACAGGGTAATGTTAATGTTGACGAAGAGTTCTTATTAAGTCGTTCTAGGTTATCAAGTTTTAGATTCACATTGTTATTTACGAGCCATCTTGATCTTCTTTTTTTTTTTTGCCGTTCTAGTTAATTGATTGATTCGTTAATTCTAAAATGCGTTACACCCCCATTGATACAATTCAAATCATTTGGAAGGCAGGCAGCTTCATCCTTGTAGGTCGGAGCAAACCCAGGCAGATTGTGGTACAACGTCCCGGCAGACAGACGGAGACACCCACCTTCTCCTCGCCGACACCGAACTCATCTCTTCTGCCTGCAACAGCAAAGAGCCTTGCTATTACACCGCAAACATTGTTCTGCCATTCTAGAATAAGACTGACTTATAAACCAGTCAGATAATTCAGATTTCTTTTCTTTTCGTCCTATTCTTTTTCTGTGTCCATAGAAAAATGAAGATGATTTTCTGCCTTACAGTCTGTTTTCTCAGTTACCTGGTACCCTTCCTTTATTCCTTCCTTTCTTCTTACATTTACTCTTTCCTTCATTCCCCTTTTTTATACTACTCGCAGTCCTATCGGAGTTGGAAGTTTTTTCGGTGATCCCTGTCTCTTAAATAACCTTACAGTGTTGAAAGGGGCGTTAAATCTGCACAACTGAAATCCAAGCGTGAGCGAGAGAACATCTTTCACCTCAGAATCTGTTCATGAACACCTTAGAACGTCTTCTGAATAATCCAATGATGCGGCACCTCCTTGACACGTCTTTGATCTCTCGATCTCAGGCTACACGCAACTAATCGTTTTCACTATACGTTTTTAATTCTATTCGTGGTGCCCCTTGCGCACACCAGTACTTTTACAAAGTATCGGTAAAGTTTCATGCGTTGAAATCTACAAGTTTGGTTGCTTTGTGGTTTGGGGTTTGGGGGTTTTTCAGCTTTCTGTTTGGATAGAGATTTACGACTTCTGTAACTGCATAGGGCCATATGAGTGTATTCTTTGATTTTAGAAAGAGAAGTGAGGAAAGGAAAAATGCCGTTTCTGTGCAAAATCAGAAAGTAACGTGAAACAAGTTTGCAGCAGTTCGGCCACTATGGGTGCCCTTGGTATGGTATATGAATTTATTGCCTTTTTCAACACTCATGTAAGGTTTCATAAAATGCGTAAGTTCCGAATTTCACTTCCATCAACAATAGGATCGAGCAAGGTAGGTGGGGAGCTTGACATAACCATGATACTTTTTTTTTAGAAGGGGGAGGTTGAAGGGTTGTTGTTGTTGGGGGATTGTGGGGGGGGGAGGGTCTTTGTTTCTGTAGCATGATCCCTTCATGTATAACCTTGACTGGCTCATTAACCTCTTCTCTCCTTGTCGTACTTAAAGCGGCATCGATTCTCTCTCGACGTTCGCCTCCAGCCTCTAGAGACACTGTGCGGTGCATGACACGCACTTACTGCAAAAATGGATGCGAGATACCTCTCTACCCGCGTCAATTCTGGCACAAAGTTGGGCCGGCGTCTTTGGGGTAACGGTGAAGCAGTCCACCGTAGCAGTTATAAGATTTGATTTCGATTCCCATGTGAGGAAATGTTTCACAGTGAAAAGAAAGGTATCAAAGTCACGTTAGTTGGTGTACTGGACAGAAGTGCAGATGAGATTGCCCTAGTTTAAACAGTCAACTGGGCATTCTAAAAACTTCGTTCCTCAGAGAGTGTCCCTCTTTTCTTTGTTTGTTTGTTACTGTTGTTGTTTTTTGTACAGGTTTAGGGAATAGACAACTATTATAAGATTCTTTGGCCACACAAATAGAAGAAATGGACATTAGAAATTGCTATTCTTGAAAGACAGAGGGAAAGCAATGCACAGGAAGGCAGAGAACAGTATACACAGATGAACAGCTTTGCGACATACAACGCAATCAGAAAGATGGAGCTCCCTAACAAAAGGGAGGAAAGGAGTACCATGACCAACAGTGTCTACTCCAGAATTGACACCTGAAGAAGAAAAATGCAATATCCGATACAAAAGGGACATTGATAGTGAATGAATTTCTTGCTTGACCCAACGGCAAAATCAGATACCTCCGCCTCCTAACTAACCGTACAGTGTTGAAGGGGGGCGTTGTACCCGTATATGCTATACAGATCAGGAAATCTTGTCCTTGAAAAGTATCCATCTACTACGAAGTGGCGTCTTCTCATAACCTCATTACAGGTCAAGGGGAGATAAGAGGATTTGGATGGCTCAACCCACGCCACAGATTTTCCCGGTCTCAATCTTCTTGCAGTGGACAGGTCAGAACACAGAATTAGGAAAAAGACAGAATGACAATGACTGCATTCAGATATCTGTGGCCACCACGTTGGTTTGTAATGAATGAACACGAAAAAACTCATCCATGTAAAATCATGAAGACCCGACATCATTGTCACGTCTCTTGATGATTAATATTTTTAACCCCAATCGACTTAATCCAGATAATTTGGGAATTTAGGAGACAGGAAGTTTGGACCCTGTTCATCAGGGTCAACCTGGGCTGAGTGGGGTACAAAATCAAAGCAGACAGAAGGAGATGGTCGATAAAAAAAAGAATTTCCTCTTCGGCGAATCCAACGCATGTCTCTTGCAAGCAAGGACTATAGAGCCAAACCATTATACCATAGACACCGATCTGACTCTTAATAATAATAATAAT